TGGTAAAGCACCTGCCTAGGATGGAGTTCAAGCACTAGCACCACCAAAATAAAAAGTAAAAACAAAAGTTTTGAAAAACATTAAAAATTACTCCATGAAATAATTTTAACGACTTAAGTTTTTGGATATAAGATTAACCTACATACATATACAATGTATTTATATATATGATAATATATCAATTGTATATCACATATATTAGGTCTATTTCCAGTATATACAAATATGCAAGATATATTTCTTTATATTCTTTATATAACTGGATGTTGGTGGCTTATGCCTATAATCTTAGCTATGTAGGAGGTTGCAATTGGAAGGATTGCAGCTAGCCCAGGCAAAAAAGTTCAAGAGACTCTCAATCAATACCTGGATACAGTGATGCTTGCCTATCATCCCAAGCTATGTGGGAGGCTGAGAGTGGAAGGATTGTGGTAACAGGCCAGCCCAGGCAGAAAGTCTGTGAGATTCTGTCTCCACAGAACGGAAGCTGAACACAGTGGTATGGAAGCACAAAGTAGGTAGACTGAGGCTCAGACTGGCAGCAAGTGAGACTCTCTCAAAAGTAAAAATAACCAGTAAAAAGCAGGGCTAAAGGCATGGCTCAGTGATATTACATCAGCCTAGCAAGAGTAAGGCCCTAAGTTCAAAATACCAAGAGAAAAGAAAAGAAGAGGGGAGGGGAGAGGAAGGGAAGGATGGAGGAAGAAAGGAAGAAAGAAAGAAAGGAAGAAAGGAAGAAAGAAAGAAAGAAAGAAAGGAGAAAGAAATCAGTTGAAATAGTAATAGGAATATAAAATTGAATAGAATATTGAAATATTAATTTAACTTGATAATAACAGATTTTTTTTCAAAATCAAAACCCTGAATCCTAAATAGAATAATTGCAACAATAATTTATAGTAAATGAATTGAAGTAGGGACAGGGAAACTTTTTCCTACCAAGGGCCATTTGGATATTTATAATGCCATTTGTGAGCCATACAAAATTATCAATACAGGCAGCTATGGAGAAGTATAGATGTCTACTGCATCATATACCAAATGCTTTTTCAGGCCTCAACAAGGATACTGAACATTACTAGAGCAAGAAATCTTTGATTTGAAAAGCTAAATATTTAATTTCTTAAATTTAGACACAGAATTAACAATACTAATTGAAATGCTTACTAGGTATTTTACAGATGTGATAAATTACAAAATTACCCAAAAATATTATTTTACTTATCACTATCTCAATTATTATTTTCCTTAATACTTACAACATTACAAAACAGGTATTATTACCCTCAATTTTAAGATAAGGGAAACTGAGTCCTGAAAGGTAATTTGTCTGAAGCTACAGAATCATCAGAATTAGATTAGAATTAGAATCCAAGCTTACACTTATTCTTTACCCCCATCATGACCCCCAAAATATAGCACTATAACTAGGAAAAGAAAATAAATCTACTTAAGTCTACATTTGATAAAATACTTAAAATAAAAAACATCCACACAAACATGGAGAGAATAAAAAGAAATATCACCCATCAAATCTTATTAGTCAAACCAAAAATCAATCGATATAAATGTACTATGTCAGTTATTCACAAAGTTTAAGAGTAAATGTACAGTTCTACATGTTAACAGAGGTAATAAAAACTTCCTGTACATAGTTACTCTGTACTTTCAACAAATGGGTTTACATATGTTTAAAAAAAAATGAAACTTGTAAATGTAGCATTGGTACTCACTAGACAGCATGTTGAAAATAAACTATATGCCAGGCACCAGTGGCTCATGCCTGTAATCCTAGCAACTCAGGAGGCTGAAATCTGAGGATTGCAGTTCAAAGCCAGCCAGAGCAAGAAAGTTCCCATGAGACTCTTATCTCTAATTAATCACTCAAAAAAACAGAAGTGGTGCTGTGGCTCAAGTGGTAGAGCCCTAGCATTAAAGCAGAGAGTGGCTCAGGTACAGCATCCAGGCCGTGAGGTTCAAGCTCCACAACCAACAACCAAAAAAAAAGAAAAAGAAAAAAAAGAGAAAGAAAGAAAAGAAAGAAGGAGAAGGAGAAGAGGAGGAGGAGGAGGAGGAAGAGGAGGAGGAGGAAGAGAAAGAGAAAAAAAAATGAACTATATAACCTGTGGGTGGGGATGGGAGGGAAAACCTGGGAGAGAGCAAGGGAAGGTGGTGACACTGTCCAAGAAGAAATATATTTATTAACTGATTTATGTAACTGTAATCCCTCAGTATATCGCCTTTATAACAATAAAACATTTTTAAAAATCAAACTTCTTAGGTGAAGAAATATCTACAATTTTTAGTCTATTAGTGAATTCATTAAAATGGATAGTTTACATAATTGGAAAAACAGTCATTTTCTTCTTAGCATTGTTACAAATCAAAGAAATGTAACTTTAATCAACTCTAATTACTATATAGCCACCAAGCAAAGGAAGTAAATATAATCAAAATTCAATGTGGTGGGACTGTAAAGAAATATATGGATTCATTGCTGGAGGTACTTCCTATTTGTCCCAATTCTTCTAAAATACAATTTGGTAGTTCACAATTAAAATAATTAAGCTAAGGGCTGGGAAGGTGACTCAGTGGTAGAATGTTTGCCTTATATGCATGAAGCCCTGGGTTTGATTCCTCAGCACCACATAAGAAAAAAGAAAAAAGCTGGAAGTGGCGCTGTGGCTCAAGTGGTAGAGCGCTAGCCTTGTGCTGAAGAGCAGGGACAGCACTCAGGCCCAGAGTTCAGGCCCCACGACCAACAAAAAAAATAAATACATGAAATAATGAAGCTAAAATCACACACACACTTTTTGGTCAGTCACGGGGCTTGAAAACACACACACACACACACACACACACACACACACCACACACACACACTCTCTCTCTCTCTCTCTCTCTCTCTTTTGGTCAGTCACAGGGCTTGAACTCAGGGCCTAGGCGCTGTCCCTGAGTGCTTTCATTCAGAGCTAGCATTCAGCCATAGCACCACTTTGGGGTTTCTGGTGGTTTATTGGAGATAAGAATCTGAGATTCTTATCTCCAGGGGGCTTTGAACTGCATTCCTCAGCTCTCAGCCTCCTGAGTAGGGAGGCTTACAGACTTAGCCACTAGTGCTCCGCTATCCTTCAAATTCTTTTTTTTACCCCAGTCAGTCCTGGGGGCTTGAACTCTGGGCCTGGGTGCTGTCCCTGAGCCCTTCAGCTTTATCACTTTGAGCCACAGCACCACTTCCAGTTTTCTGGTGGTTAATTGGAGATAAGAAACTCATGGACTTTCCTGCCTGAGCTGGCTTTGAACTGTGATCTTCAGATCTCAGCCTCCTGAGTAGCTAGAATTACAGGTGTGAACTACTAGCACCCAGCTTTCTTTCATGTTCTTTAAGTCTATAATTCTAAGAAATTTATTTCAAGAAGAAAACAAAAGTTATTGTACAAACGTTTAGTGCATTCTAATTTATAATAACAATAATTTATTATTATTCTTTTTTTTTTTTTGAGTCCGGTCTTGGGGCCTGATCTTTGGGCCTGGGTGCTGTCCCTCAGCTCTTCAGCTGAAGGCTAGTGCTCTACCACTTGAGCCACTTCTGGCTTTTTCTGCTTATGTGGTGCTGAGGAATCGAATCCATGGCCTCATGCATGCAAGGCAAGTGCTCTACCATTGAGCCACCTTCCCAGCCCTTATAATAACAATAATTTAAAATAATGTAATTGCTAAGCAAAGTAAGATTAAGAATGAATATTACAATATACTTAGAAATGTATTACTATCAAGGTGTGGTAGTGTGCGTGTCATCCTAGCTACTTGAGAGGCCAAAGCAGGAGAAAGTTTAAACCCAGGATCTTGAGGTCATCCTGGGCAATATAGAGATCTTGTCTCAAACAAACAGACAAAAAAGCATGAGAGAAGTCCTACATTTGGTCTCCATTACCAGCAAGAATAAGTTGGATATGGTGAACATGCTTGTAATCCCAGTACTTGGAAAGTACTGGATGAATTCAAGGGAAGATAGCAAGACCTCGTTGCAAAGAGAAAAAAATAGAAATGTAAAGAAACAGCTATTAAATCTTAAATATGAATACCATATTTAACACATGAAAACATTTAAATACTAACTACAACTATAAAAAGTTTACTAGAACAAAGCTATGAGAATATGGAAAGAAATAAAGTTTTCAACTCTTTTTTTTTTTTTTTGATGCCTCAGGCTCTCACTCATGGCTGGCACTCTACCACTTGAGCCCTATCTCTGAGCCAGGTTTTTTGCTGGTCAACTGGAGATGAAGTGTTCCAATTTAATTTCTACCTATGCTGGCTTCCAAATTTATCCTCAAGATCTCAACCTTTCTGAATAGCTAGGATTATAGAATGATCCATCAGTACTCAGCACTCAAGTTTTAAATAACTAAACTAAAAAGTTTTAAATAAAAAATTTAAAACATAAAAAGGAATTTTATGTCTATGGTATTCCTGTATACCATAATATTAATTATGTACATAAACTTCTTGGCTTATATAATAAGCACCACATATAACTTCGTTTCTATGGAAAATATACTTTCAGAATCTCTAGCAAATAGTTCTTTAGAATATAATCACACTAAATTGAGAACAACTTACTTTCATATTTACAAGAAAATGAAAGCAACACTGGGAGTTCAAGAATGTTTGATGCGCTAAGAATACTGTATTAAATGCTCTCTTCAAAAAGCAGTGTCCAAATTCATGAAGAACCACATTTTTTAAAGATCTTTCAGCTTTCTTTTCTTTCTTCTGAATTTCTCCTTTCCCAAAACTCATCTTCTTTCCCATACCACTATAAAAATACCTGGAATTATTTAAAATACTACACAATATTTGAAAAGTGTGTCACTTATCAAATATCCTAGCTATCTGAAAGCGATGAGTATTGTTTTTTTGCAAAATAGTATATATTTAGGCTGTGTGGTTAGAAACATTTCACAATTTAAAAAAAATAGTAAGATGAGTAATCATACCATCAAACTGGTCTTCACCTTCAGTCATTAGTTCATCATCAGAGCAAATACTCAGAACATTCACCAACATTTCTGTCACTATTCAAAAAGAAAAAGAACTAACATGTTAGCTTCACATATGCAACAGTCTATTTTTATGCATACCAATGATTCATACAAATAGTCAAATGATTGTTACCCCAAAATAAATACATCTGATAGCTAGCAGGAAGGACAGAATTAAAAGTTTAAAGACTTTCAAAATAAAATAATTCAATGGATAACAAGTGTGAGAGAAAGGGATTCTTTTTTTTTTTTTTGCCAGTCGTAGAGCTTGAACTCAGGAGCTGGGCACTGTCATTGAGTCTCTCTGTGCTCAAGGCTAGCGCTCTACCAGTTGAGCCTCAGTGCATTCCAGCTTTTTTTCTACTTCTATGGTACTGAGGAATGGAACCCAGGGCTTCCTGAATGCTAGCCAAGCACTCTATGGCTAAGCCACATTCCCAGCCAAGAAAGGGATTCTTAAATGAAGTAAAATTTCAAGTCTCTCAGAAAAAAATCAAACTCTAGAGGTTAAGAACAGAAAAATAATTTATCTGAATATTCATGTTTTAGATCTTCATTCATGAATACGGCATTAAAGAATAAGAAAATAATCATTAAATAGTTCATACATTAAAAAAAAACAGTCCCAGGAACTCAGTCTTTTAAAACTGACTCCAGTAATTTCCTTAAAACTGAAATTTAAATATTACTCATGACTATTTAACAAGCTGAACCCATGACTCTTACATCTAATCTTCCTTTTCCTTTTTCCTTGGTTTTCCAGATTCTACTCTACTGGTTTTCCCACCCTTTAGAACTCTCCCTCCTTAAATGTTTTTAAGATTTTCTCTATAGTCTTATTCTTTTCATGTGTTCAATTTTTCATGTCAAGTTTGGTCATTATTATAGTTATAGTATCAAGTATTGTTTCTGGAGATGAGTCACAAATTTAGACTCTGCATTTATTTACTGGTTTTACTGCCAACTGTTTTAAAACTCTAATGTAAGTTGTCTGTATTCCCTGCTAGAATTAAAACTTCCAGCCTGGTGGGGCAGCTCATACTTATAAGCCTAGTTACTCAGGAAGCTGAGATTTGAGAATGGTGGTTCAAAGCCAGATCCAGTAGGAATCAAGTGGGACTTTAATCTCAAAAAGCCAAAAGTAGAAGTATGGCTCAAGCCAGGGTGCCCGGCTACAAATTTCAATTAAATAAAAATTCCTATTGACTGATAGTCTCTGCATGGCCTACTGGTACCTAGGAATGACACACATACAAAAGGTATTAAGAGTCGGGTGCCAGTGGCTCACACCTGTAATCCTAGCTACTTGGGAGCCTAAGATCTGAGGATCGCAGTTCAAAGCCAGCCCCAGGCAAGAAAGTCGTTGAGGCTCTTATCTCCAATAAACCACCAGAAAACTGGAAGTGGCGCTGTGGCTCAAGTGTTAGAGCTCAGGGACAGTGCACAGGCCCAGAGTTCAAGCCCATGACCAACAACAACAAAAAAAGTATTAATAGATTTTTTTCAGAGGCCAGGTGACAGAAAATGACTAAGGGACACGTTGTCTTTTACCCATCTATTCTAAACACACACAAAAGCATTAAGAGACATCTTTCCTTTTCCTTGTCTTGCCTTTAAAATGGGTAACAAACTCCCTATGGTGTACATTCATTCCACTGGGGTACATACTGAGACACTGGGATTCATTGGATACTGTCTCTGAAGAAAAAAATGCCTGACAGATATACTCCTTGGTTGTATCCCTTTATGGCACTTACAAACTGCCAGATCAAAAAGTCTGGCTTCTGGCTGGGAATGTGGCTTAGTGGTAGAGTGCTTGCCTAGCATGAAGCCTTGAGTTTGATTCCTCAGTACCACATAAACAGAAAAAGCCAGAAGTGGCACTGTGGCTCAAGTGATAAAGTACTAGCCCAGACCCTGAGTTCAAGTCCCAGGACTGGGAAAAAAAAAAAGGTCTGGCCTGCAGACAATAAATTTACTTTATCTTTTCTATCATAATGCCTCTAAATTAGCAAGCCCCTTATATCCAGGTCTTCTTGTCTCTCTTGAAGGATCTGGAACTGCAGAAGGAATGTCAGATGTGTCTGACCTGTTCAGAAAATTCTTTTGTTCCACTTTGTTGCCCTAGACAGTCCCTTGGTTTTTCTCCCTCTAGCACCAGCAATGTGGTTTTTCACCCTTTAAGACAAGCCTGCCTATCACTAATCAAAATGTGGCTCATGATCTGTTTCTACAGAGATGTTTTCCTTGTCTAAGTCTCCAAAAAGGTTAATGGATCCTTTCTTGTCTTCTGTGGAATTAAAACTCTTCTCTGCTTTTTCATATTCTGCATTACTTCTGTTCTAACTCTGTGGATAAACTTTGCTATTCTATGCTCTGAAAAGGTTTTTGCTTGAGAAATATATAAAAGATGGAACTTATGTGATTAAGTTGACTGTAATTTAAAAGGTTACCTAAATGTTTTTCTAAGGTCAAGATGTAATACATTGATAAAATTAACACCCAATTCTCTGTCTATAACAATAGAACTGTCCTAAGGATCTATTCTTAGTAATATTTCCAAGAAACTGGCTTAAAGAAAATATTTATTCAAGTGATTACTACGTATTGTTAGTCCTCTAAAGGTTTTGATTATTTATGAAACTAAATGCTAAGTAAAAGTTTATTTAACTGTCTCTATGTCAAGGTCTTTTAAAAACCTACCTTATAACTATAACTAAGTATATACAACAGCAGTGACACTAATTGTTGCTGGTTCTTTTGTAAATTTGATATATTTCTCTTCCCCAAGTATGTTGTCTTCTAAGATACAAAGCTGAGGAAGGTACTATACCAAACAGTTACCTTTTAAATTAATGATACCAGCCCATTACAGGCTCACATTCATGTGTTTATAGTTGTAAAGAGTTCATAGTTTTAATGAGGAAAGCATAGCAGTCCTAAGAATACTGCCCATCTTAAGTCAGTACCTTAAAATGGTAAGTGCAATGGAAATAACTAGACTTTAATCAAATTGCTGTATGAAAAATTTTACCATGGTTTTTCTAAGTCTTTTATCATTGCAGATTTGACGCTCTCCTGGAACATTAGCAATCAGACCCCAAGAAGATGGCTCTTTAAGTACTTATGAAATTTAGTTAGCTTTTTAGAATTAATGGAACTATTTCTTAGAAGCTATTTCTACTAATCTCCTGTTGGGTTTAACTGGAAGGGTTTAACTGGAAGACTGTTACCTGACCTATCACCTCCTTCCAACATAGAATCAGATCAACTGGACTGTCTTATTCCAGCAAAGAAGAGACCTACTAGGATAAAGCTATGCTGGTGACAAGGGATCACACACAGACAGTTGGACAAAACTGTTCAACTAAGAGTGGATAGTATCAGATACCAAATGGCACCACTTGTGCTCACCCTTTCAAAAGTAACTAAAGCCAAGAGGCTGCAGGAAATAGTTCATAGCATGATCACCATAACCTGATTACCATGTCTGTCTACAGTTCAACTGAACAGTGACTCACACTCTTGACTTTCTTTCATCTGCTACTTCCACAGATCCAGGAAAAACCCCAGATGTTCCTCCAAGTTTGTTTCCTTGTTCCAACCTATAAAACTATAAGTGATATAGCTTAAGGACTAATTACTAAATTCTAAGGTAAAGATGAGGAGACAGGAATTATTTCAAACCATATGTCCCTTGATATCCTAAATATAACACAAGGCCAGATGTGTGTACTGTTTATTAACTTCTGTGTTCATATTCCATCCAGACAATTTAGCCAACGTAGCTGAACTTAGATCAATGTAGCCCAGCCTAATGACTCTGTTGTAATCTTCTAAGTCCCTTACTCTCAGGGTCCTCTGGATTCAAATGGTGGAAACCAACCCCCCCTCCCCCCAGCCCTCCTATTCCCACTCCTGGGGTCTGCCCTGGGCCATGCAGGCCCTGTGCAGATACCTTCCTACCCCTTGGCAAAGTTTCTGCCCAGTATCTGTGTTACTTAAGTAACAGGCAACTCTGGAAAGTCACTTCCCTCTCCTGTTAGGTCTCATTCTGGGCTGTCCAACCATAGGAGGGTCCTAGGCCACATCAGATCCAGTATGGCCACATCTCTCCCCTACCTGGCCACACCTCTTCCCGTCCCTAGCCTAGAAAAGTCCTGGAACCAGGGTGGGTCTTTTGGCCAAGCCTCTCCAACAAGGACAGCATCTGGGGCAGCAGTTCGATAAATTGCCTTTCCTGCCTGAATACTATGTGGTGTTCTCTTCATCAGCTACCTAATGAAACCTACCTATTAAATATACCTTACACCCACCCCTAACCCCCCCCCAAAACCCCAGTGTTTTAGTATTGTTGTCTGGTTACAATTATCTGTGGGAATCTTAAGTCTGTGGCTGTTTTTACTGCTGTTTTGTGTCAGTCCCAACCAGTTCTGTATTTCTACAACATCGTTCCTCTTCTTTAAAAACTATAACTGATATGATCTCCAAAAGTAATGTTCTCTCAATAAGAGCTCCAGGTACTAGGATCTCAGCTATTCTTGTTGACCCAGGTCAAACCAAGGCAAGAATCCTGACCTTTGCCTATGGCCCACACTAATAGGAAGTAGTAAAAGACCTTGACTTCCCATTTTCTAAAAGATTTTAGAGTCTTAATCATTTAAGGCCACAAGGATAGGTAGCAGTAAGCTGTAAGCAATGGGAAATGCAAGGGAACCTAAAATGGACGATAAGATTACAAGTTCTCAGAAAGAAATCATTATAAACTTTTCAATTTATATGAGGAACTTATAGGGCCACCAGAATCATAAAATTTCTTAAGAGGTTTTTTTGAGTACTCCACCACCTAAGGATTAACTACAGGATTCATTCCAGACTGAAATGGGTCAACAAATAGTTCTTAACTTACCTACTCAGGCCAGTAAAACCATGCCTCAGAGGTCAAATGTAATTTAGTAAACCTCTTCCACCCTTGGGACAGTGACTTGCCCAGTACGCTGGACCAATAAGCTTCTGATATTTTGTTTCTGCAGTCACTTTGTAGCCATCTTGGAATCCAAGAAGGGGAAGACCACCTACCAGGTGTCAAGATCCTACTAGACTAATCCTGAAACAATGACTATAAGACTTATCTGATGCCACCACTGATTCTACACGTGATTTGGGACTGTTAATTATGAATAACTTCTCACACCCTGCCCTATTCCTCCCTGTTTAACTATAGGCAACATAATTTCTTTTTCTGCCACATTTTTTTCCCAATAAAATTTCCTATCACTTAAAAACACATTTAAGCCGGGCGCTGGTAGCTCACGCCTGTAATCCTAGCTACTCAGGAGGCTGAGATCTGAGAATCGAGGTTCAAAGCCAGCCCGGGCAGGAGAGACTGTGAGACTCCTATCTCCAATAAACCACCAGAAAACCGGAAGTGGCGCTGTAGCTCAAGTGGTAGAGCGCTCGCCTTGAGCTGAAGAGCTCAGGGACAGCGCCCAGGCCCAGAGTTCAAGCCTCACGACCGACCAAAAAAAAAAAAGATAAATCTAAAAAAAAAAGGTAGGGCTGGGAAGGTGGCTCAGTGGTAGAGCGCTTGCCTTGCATGCCTGAGGCCCTGGGTTCGATTCCTCAGCACCACATAAGCAAAAAGAAAAAAGCTGGAAGTGGTACTGTGGCTCAAGTGGTAGAGTGCTAGCCTTGAGCTGAAGAGCTGAGGGACAGCGCCAGGCCCAGAGTTGAGGCCCCACGATCAAACCGCCTCCCCCCCAAAAAAAGAAAAGAAAAAGAAAAGCAATTCTATTACAATATCAGAAAAGAAAATATAACTATATAATCCAATTTTAAGTATTTTCCTAATTTTTCTTCCCCTCTTCACCCCCACTTCCAGTTCTGGGGCTTGAACTCAGGCTGGGAAGGTAACTCAGTGGCAGAATGTTTGCCTCGCATGCATGAGGCCCTGGGCTCAATTCCTCAGCATCACATATCAGAAAAAACCAGAAGTGGCTCTGTGGCTCAAGTGGTAGAGCACTAATCTTTATCTGAAGAGCTAAGGGATAACGCCTAGGACCAGAGTTCAAGCCCCACGACTGACAAAAAAAAAAAAAAAGAGAGAGAGAGAGAGAGAGAGAGAATGAAGGTGACATCTGGGGTTTGAACTTGGCCTGGGCACTGTCCCTGAGCTTCTTTTGCTCAAGGCTAACAATCTACCACTTGCGCCACAGTGTCACTTCTGGTCTTTTCTGTTTATGTAGTTCTAAGGAATTGAACCCAGGGCTTCATGCATGTTAGGCAAGCACTTTACCACTAAGCCACATTCCCAGCCCCTAATGTTTCAAAATATTAATATAATATCTTATATTAACCTATCCCGATTTTAGTCCCTGGTTATATTACTTTATTGGACATAATATTATAAAACTACATTCTAATAGAAACTACAGTACGTACTAGCTATGTATGAACAATTATTTAGCAATCTGTTTCTCATTAATAAAATGGAACTAAGATGTCCACCCTGCCTACTTCAGAAGTTTGGTTTAAGATCAGAGAATGTACTTCACATGAAACTATATAAACATATAAAATGCTTTGTAAAAATAGTAATTATATGGTTACTTTTATTCATTTTAATCAAAAGTGCTTAAATGTAGATATTAAACTTCAAGATTTGTAACTGTGGTTAATACGGAACCAAAAAAAATCCTACTGCGGGCTGAGAAGGTGGCTCAGTGGTAGAGCGCTTGCCTTGCATGCCTGAGGCCGAGGGTTCGATTCCTCAGCACCACATAAGCAAAAAGAAAAAAGCCGGAAGTGGTGCTATAGCTCAAGTGGTAGAATGCTAGCCTTGAGCTGAGGGACAGTGCCCAGGCCCAGAGCTCAGGCCCCACGACCGGACCCTCCCCGCCAAAAAAATCCTACTGCATATTACTATTCACTAACTTAATAGGTGTATTTTGTTTTCCTTATGAAATGTATATGTAAACTAAAAAGATTTTAAGTTCACCTCAAAAATGGTCGATACCAGTATTTCAAGACCTTATTTAGAGGAGAAAAGAGACAGAAAAATCTAGAAAATTGCTTTATGGATAGGAATGAAACATTACAAATATGTCCATACTTGTAAACATTCAAATTACTAACACTATATATAGATTTAGAATTACTGAGAGACATTTGGTTTTGACAAGACAGTTCAGTGATGTTTCATTTTCAAAGATTAAAAAAACTTGATTCTTCAGCCTCCTGAGTTAATTAACAAAGGATAACTAGTAAGGTAGTAATTCAACTGGGCACTGAACACTAGTACATTTAATAGTGACAAAGGAAAGTCACAGTTGAGGAATTAAGAGCACTGGCAGAAAATTAAATGTAGTATTTGGATCTTGTTCTTAACAATGGAGTTAAAACTTAGATATATTTCTCCTTAAAAAGGAAGCCACATTTCATTAGCTATCTGTAATATAAGTTCTTATAGAACATTCTATATCATTTGCTACTGTTGGATCTTAGGCAACTACCATCCCGTCATCTAAAAAACCTGTTCTGCTTCTCTTTCAAACTTACATCATGTCCCACATTTAGCAATGACCTCATTCTCTTTCTAAATGTACTTTTTAAAGTCTTTAACGTTCTGTTCTTTTCCTCCTGGCTGACTCTGGAGCTATGAAATAGTCAACTGAATTCCAGACATGTCAAAATGGAATAGAAGCTGGCCTCCTTAATTTCCTCTGAAGATGTGAACTATGTAAACTCAATCTCATCTCCAATGTCCTGGGCACATACTTAACTAGACAAAGACTGTGTGGCATTATCTGTCAATAAGTTATACTCAAAATAAAATGAAATTTAATATTTATACACAAATTAAATTTGGAGAAAAGGAGAGGAAATAGAAGACAGAGGAACAAAAAGTAAAGAAAATATATATGAGAAAAAGGAGAAAAGAAACAAAGATGAGAGAACCTAAAGGGAAATCAGAGTAGATTAATTACAGCTCAAATATAAATCTTCATGGGCAGTGATAAGACTATGAGATAAAAGTAGAAAATATGAAAGAGAAGCTACATCAGTCAACACAAAACAAGCAACATAAAATAAACAAGTAGGTTTACAAATAAAATAGTCAAAGCAGCAACAGCTATATATAATCAAGAAAACATTCTCTTGGTTATAAGGAGAAAGATGTAAGAAAGGGGAGCTTAAGAAAATCATGTTTGGTTTTGCTTAACTCAGAGCATTTTTGACAAAACAGCTTTCATGAGTGACAAGTTGTGGAATGGTTACATAGACTTAGTTTCACATTTTGGATTTTTTTTTTTTTTTTTGGTTGATTGTGGGGCTTGAACTCTAGGCCTGGGCCCTATCCTTGAGCTCTTCAGCTCAAGGTGAGTACTCTACCATTTGAGCCACAACACCACTTCCAGTTTTCTGGTGGTTAACTGGAGATAAGAGTCTCATGACTTTCTTGCCCGGGCTGGCTTTGAACCATGATCCTCAAATCTCAGCCTTCTGTGGAGCTAGGATTACAGGCGTGAGCCACTGGCACCTAGCTACACCATTTGGATTTTTATTTCTTGTTTTCTCCCCTCCCTTATATCTTGTAGGGTTTTTTGTTTGTTTTAAAGTAAGATTTGTATAGTTTCAAACAATGCCCTTTTTCTATTTTTTAAAGTAAATTAAAATGCTAAGTTCTTTAACATTTTTTTATCAACAACATCTTACCTTTATTATTGTAGACATCTAAGTAATTAGGTGCCGAAAAAATTGTTATTAATGAAGGGAACCCTGTAGTTTGACTTTTTCTGTACATTCTATAGCTGCAAAACAAATAGCTTAATATGCATCGTAAAGCATCAATCATGGTTACTAAGTTTGATTTGTATTAAAGGTGTTAATTTGGGTCAGGGAAACAGAATTCTTACCCTGCATCTTGAGCTTCATGAGCTCTAATAATCGATAACAAATTATTGTTTTGCAAAAATTCACATACTGCTGGATAGCTGTAGGGGGAAAAAGAGTACATTAAGTAAAACAATGTGTTTTGATGTATGGAGCATATATTATTTTCAGATACCTAAAATACGATTCATCTTGGCTATTTTTCCTTACTTATAAAAATAAGAACATCCTCGAACTGTATTGTGACTAAAATGTTCTTGTGATTTTTCATTTCCAAAATCTTCAGAAGGATCGGACCATAACAAGTCACACATTGGTCCAAATGCAGGTGGCTCTTTGAATCTATCTAACTGTGAAAGAAAGAAAGAAAGAAATGAATAGAAATCTCATCACCAAGTGAGGACAAAACATACAAAAGAAACTGACATCAACTTTAAAGTTTATACTACATTATTCTGAATGATTAGAAACTGTTTCCTTAAAATCAGCATATTTTTTTTCTATTTGCTGGTACTGGGGTTTTGAACTCAGGGCTTTGAACTTGCTAGGTAGATACTCAACTGCTGAGCCATGCCTTCAACTCTCTTTCTGTGACAGGGTCTAGCTTCCTGCCTAGACGTACCTTATCATCTGTCTAGTTAAGCTTCCTGTTGTATAGCTCAGATAAAAGGCATGTTTGTACCTAGGCATGTCTACCTTCTTCTTTTAAGATATGAATCTCATGGACTGTTTTTGACTAGGCTGGTCCAGAACCCAATCATTTTTATGGCTAGGATGACAGGTGCATACCACTGTGACTAGCTATCAACTGGAAAGGGGGTCAATGAACTTTCCTGCCCTGAATGGCCTCATGAGTCCTCCTGATCTCAGCTTCTCAAGTAGCTAGGATTATAGGCATGAGCACTTGGCACCTGATCAGCATATTAATTTTGACTGTTATCTAATCTTTCCACCGAAGATAAACTAACAAAATATAGTAAATAAAATTTAAAAATCAACAAAATATAGTAAATAAGAATCAACTCTGGAACTGAAATCTATACTCACTCTCCTAATATCATCCAGTGTGTGTATTTCTGGTGAAAGTCCACCATGAACACAAAGAAATTGTTGATTTAAAAGTGCAGCAAGGGGCAGGCTATCAAAAGCTTCCATACAAGCTTCATAGACTCTTTCTGAATATTTAATTTTACCTAGAAAAAGAAAAAATTACACCATTTCAAAATTATATTACCACTTGATCATTCTTAAAACATAAATGCTGATGGTAACATTTTATTTCTTATTCCCTCTTTTTCTTCATAATTAATAATTCTCTTTTCTAATAATGAGTTTGGGGCAGTTATAATTTCAATTATAAAAGGTAAATCTAAGCCGGGCGCTGGTGGCTCAAGCCTGTAATCCTAGCTACTCAGGAGGCTGAGATCTGAGGATCACAGTTCAAAGCCAGCCTGGGCAGGAGAGACCGTGAGACTACTATCTCCAATAAACCACCAGAAAACCGGAAGTGGCACTCTAGCTCAAGTGGTAGAGCGTTCGCCTTGAGCTGAAGAGCTCAGGGACAGCGCCCAGGCCCAGAGTTCAAGCCTCACGACCGACCAAAAAAAAAAAAGATAAATCTAAAAAAAAAAGGTAGGGCTGGGAAGGTGGCTCAGTGGTAGAGCGCTTGTCTTGCATGCATGAGGCCCTGGGTTCGATTCCTCAGCACCACATAAGCAAAAAGAAAAAAA